AAATTTGAGCTGAATTTGTGGAGAACTTATGAGTTTTTGAAGCTTACACTAACCAACTTGACATTTTATATTTGACTAGCTGACCCGCGCAACTTCGTCTGCGTCTCTCAATAGTAATAAATTTTCTCCGTTTTTGAAACATTCTTCATTGGTGCTCCGCTCCTATTGGTCTTAGCGTGATGATATATATCCTATAGCCTTCCTCGATAAATGGGCTATCTAACACTGAAAGAATTTTTCAAATCGGACCAGTAGTTCCTGAGATTAGCGCGTTCAAACAAACAAACAAACAAACAAACAAACAAACTCTTCAGCTTTATAATATTAGTATAGATATATACGACGTGTGTAGAACCCACAGTACAAACCACTACTAGGGTCTAATTACCCTTTTTTTCCTGTGCGGAACTCCCCTCGGATACCACCCACTAGTAATATGTTGGACTCGAACCGACCAAAAACCGCACGCCGTCTCCAGGTACCAGTAGCCGGGGAACCACGTATACATTAGAAAGGAACCCTGGTACCCTGACGTACCTCGGGCCATCTACGGCTTTTTATTGGGACTAATCCCACCCACGCGCCCACCACTGTAACTCCTGTACACCAGGATCCACAGCAGTGACCCACGAGCACACCGAGTTATGACACTCGGGAAGTCCCAGGAAGAAATTAAACTGTCTTGAAACCCGCAACGAAATAAATCAGAAGAAAATTGGAGGAGTTGGAAATACAGTAAATCCACTTCCCTCCTTAGCAAAGCGGGAGACAAAATGAAGTAAAATGGGCATACACCCTTTTAAACAGGGAAGCACCACGGCCACAAATATTACGGGTCCTACGTGAGCTATGTTTGATTTCTATAATATGTATGGCAGAATCGCCTAAACGCACAGAAATTCACCCTAGTTGACACAAGATCCCCATAGTATACCGCCCCAGATGTCACCTGCAAGCTATTCAGCATTATATTACGTTCATTATACCAAAGACTACATTCCCAGAGGATATGATGAGCAGACTGTTCATAGTGAGAGTTAGGTGTTGAGCATTGACACAATGGTGACTCGACTAATTTAAATGAATAAAGCTTGCTCTTAAAGTTACCATGACCCGTAAGAAATTGAGCGACACAGTGATCTACCTCAAGCCATATCCTCGACAACCGTTCGCGAACAGATGGAAAGAATTGGTAAAGATGGCGCCCCTTGGATGATTCATCCCAGCGTTGTTGCCATTCGTCTATGAGGTCATTATAGACATCGGGCTGCTGTTGAAGCAATCTTGTAATTTTACCGCGATCCCGCGCGCCCAAAAAATCGCATTCCATGTTTTGTTGTCTTGAATAGTACATGGCTGCACGTCTCTGCACCTCGAGATCGACCGGAAGGACACCCGCCAACACCGGCAAAGCCTCAGTGCTAACCGTCCTATATGCCTTACACAAGAATATCAGTGCAAGTCGTTGGCCTTGTAACAGTTTGCGACGGACAGCGCCTACGGTCGCCCTATCGGCCCATACAGGTGCACCATAGCACATAGAACCTAAATAAGTAGCTCCGTATATGATCTTTAATGTATTAAATGATAGACCCCATGTCGCAGTTGATATCCTTGTCAATGCACAGAAACTCTTTTTAGACTTTTCATTAACTATTTTAATATGTTCGATAAATGAAAAGTTTCTTTCTAAAACTAATCCTAGATAACACACTGTAGTTTTATTTTTTACAGTAACATTGTCAAATCTAATGCTCGGCGGTGATTTGAGGTTACCTTTTAAAAGTAGCTGGAAGGTTTTGTTGGGTGCAAAAGTTAAGCGATTACGTTCACCCCATTGAGATATCAAGTTCAAACATCTATTGGCTAATCTCTCAAGCCCCGCCCTAGTATCAGATTCCACCAGTAATAAGCCGTCATCAGCATACGCGTTCAGAGTACATCCGGATGGTATTGGTATCGCAAGAAAATCGTCGAAGCCGATATTCCACAAGTATGGACCTAGCACCGATCCCTGAGGACATCCCATCTACGGCTTATAGACGGCCCCTCCTGTGTGGGAACCCGGATGTTCCCTTCCTGCCCCGAAGGGCGTGCGCGCTCCGTAGCGCGTCGCGACAATACCCACCCCGGCCTGCTTCTGCTAGAGTGACAGATGGCGTCACCTGTCACACCCGAGCCTGGCGAGCCGGGAGGGTTCTGAACCTCTCCCGGTCTCGCTCCGCCATCACCTTCCCAAGCATAACCTGCTCGCAGAAGGAGATGGCGGAGTTCCACGCACTCACGCTCCGCAACAGTCTAATTACCCTCGCATAATATTTATGATTCAAAATATTAAAATTATATTAAACTGCCATTTAAAACACAATAACTTAAAAGAACAAAACATCCACGCAGTTAATCCACAAACCTGTAAACGCATTACGTTCTAAAGTAATACATAACAATAGTTAAATTACGCAATATTCTCAAGAAATAATATACATACGTACAAATAATTCCCATGCGTATAATGATGGGAACCGATCCCACGTCCCAGATGTGACTGCACGAATGACAAGTGCTTGAACCATTCGTATACAATAGCCGTATATAGTATTATAGATTGTGTAATGACATATGAGTTTTCGATCAGTATTTGTGGTATATCATATCTCAAGGCCTTTCTTCATTTTTAGGGTTCCGTATCTCAAAAGGTAATAAAAAACCGGTCAGGTACTAGTCGAACTCGTGGGCCGAGGGATCCGTACCTACCCAGATTTTAAGTAGATTTTTCGCGAAAATTTGTAAGTACCAAATTTTTTCTTAATTTTCTAATTTTTTGGCATTATTCCTTTATTTATCTTTTTAATTTTTTGGAATTATTCCTTTACTTGTGATATAAGACGTTTCTTTTTGCCAAATTTCGTTCAAAACCAATAGGGTACTGCCGGATGACCTAGAATTGTCAATTTTCAGGAACGGGTAGACCTAGCAAGTTGAAATTTATACCACATACTCGTACTGAGTTCTATTGTCCCTATTAGGTTTAGGTAACTTTCGGCGCACGAGTTCGACTCGTACCTGACCGGTTTTTTTTACTCAACATAGGCCTCAATTCGCCGCCGGCGAACCGGTCGGCGAAGTCGCGTATTCCAGCGGCTCATGTAGTCCTGAGTGTGGCCGCGGGTGGACGAACAAAGAAAAACCTCCCTTACTTACTAATGCGGGCAGACGCTAGGAGTGGTCCGGATGTCTTGATAACAGCTGTTACCGGATACCTCTTATTTAAGGCGCAGAGGCATTCTAGGAATAATAATAATAAAATTCTAACACATTCACACAACGCCATCTAGTCCCAAACTAAGCAGAGCTTTTACTATGGCTACTAGACAACTGATATTAATGAATATGTATATACTTTTATTTTGTAAATACATACTTATTATACATAGAAACACCGAGACCAAATCAAACATTAAATGTTCATGCACGCAAATGTTTGACTTGAGCGGGAATCCAACCCGCGAGCTTTGGAATAGCAGTCCGTTACATAAACCACTACGCCTTCCGGTCGTCAATAATATGCGTTGACATTTAGTCATTGGCAACGTTTCTTGATAGATATTAGCTAGATAGGCTAATAATATAGTCTGTGGAATTATAATCTTCAAAGGTTCGAGTGGTGTGTGTCGACAATCGACACTGAGCGCAGTAGTGAGCGACGTGGCGACCGCTTCAACCACTACGCCATCCGTGCAAGCACTTGATTGCCGTGTGAGAAGTAATCTGGTCCAAAACTGGGCAGAACCTGCACTATTGTAACCAGACTGCTCATAAACATACTTATATATTTCCAAATACATACATATGACGCTGACGCGCGCACTACGTACTCTGAATATAATTGCGGATGAAATAGATTTATTTTATTGCTCACTGAGTGAATTCACAATAACAGCATTAAGAATTATTTCTTATAATAAATAAGTAGATGGTATAACACTATTGCATTGGGCTAAACCTGTAATAATAGTTGTTTTTAAAGGAAATAACTAAATAAATAAATATTACAGATAAACAATTAATGATTGATGAGTCACCGCGTGGTGTCGGAACGGAGTATCACCCACCCCAATTCATCCCGTGGGTGTCGTAAGAGCCGACTAAGGGAGCAAACTAAGCAGGACAACAGCACTGCAAAGAGAAGGAAAACTTGAAACAAACCCTATACCAACCCGTCTGGCCAGCGTGGTATAGTAGGCCAAAACCTCCTTTCTACGGAGAGGCCTATGTCCAGCAGTGGACTAGTATAGGCTGTTGATGATGTTGATGAAACCTGTAATAATAGTTGTTTTAAAGGAAATAACTAAATAAATAAATAAATATTACAGATAAACCATTAATGATCGATGAGTCACCGCGTGGTGTCGGAACGGAGTATCACCCACCCCTATACAACCTGTGGGTGTCATAAGAGCCGTCTAAGGGAGCAAAATACGCAGGACAACAGCACTGCAAAGAGAAGGAAAAGTTAAAACAAAACCTGTACTAACCCGTCTGGCCAGTGTGGTATAGCAGGCCAAAACCTCCTTTCTAAAGAGAGTCCTATGTCCAGAAGTGGACTACTAAAGGCTGTTGATGACACTGTGCTCACAAATAACTTCTACCAGCGACTTATTGTTCACCATTATAACTAGAAACCTGAACGGTAAGACAGATTTATTATCTTGTAGGTACTTAATAGTAGTCTCAATAATCTGTGATGGTTTTTTCTAAAGTTATTGAGGTTGGGGACAGTTAAGAAAATAATTTCATTCATTGTACTACCTGACATAAGTAATTGTGGTGGTTACGACTTCAAACCACTAACTCTTGAATATCTTGCAGGTATCCGTAGATAAAGTGGCAACTTATAATAATATTGAAAAAAACGTGTGATAAAATTAATTTAGTTGTGGTTTTAATTAAAAAATATTAATCTACATATTTACAAAATGAATTTGAGATATATTCTTAAACTAATAGGATCCGAATGTGATATCGTGTAGGGGGGCAGCTCCATTACTGGGTAAGGCGTATTCTTTGAGGAGTTCATCGAGCATAGAGTACGGTTGGGTGTTACTCTGCTGGCCGAAGTTAGACGATTGTCTAGGAGGAGCAGGAGCATCGAAATCTGGGTTTGAAAACTGCTGGAAGGATGGAGATGGCCTGAAGTCTTGTTTAGACGCCTGGTATTGAGTGTGCCTTGGCTGAGCTGGTTGTGCGTTAAATAAGTTGTCTGATGGAGGTGATGGGGCAGCACCGGCGAAGAATGCAGGCTGAAAATGTAAATAAAATAATAAGATTACTAAGGACCCCTTATGAAATTGTAATTAAAATGTTAAGTGAAAGATGGGTAAACTTTTATCAAAAATAACCAGAGATCGCTTGGCGTTTTAAATTGAAATCAGTCGATCATTTTGAAAGCTTTGTTTTATCAACCAGTAATATTTGATCTGTCATTGTATTGACTTATATACTTCAATAATAATAATAATAACCTCACACATCACACACACGGCTGTCTGATTCCAAACTAGGCAGAGCCTGTACTATGGTAACCAGACCGCTGATAAACATACTTATATATTTCTAAATACATACATATTATAGATCAATTACATCCAGACACAGAACAAACGATCGTGCTCATCAAACAAATATTTGTCCTGGGTGGGAATCGAACCCACGACCTCCAGCTTAGCAGTCAGGGTCACCAACCACTAGACCAACAGGCCCGTCAATGTTTTTAGTAAAGCTTCGGGATATTATACAATAGACAGGGAAAGAAAAAAATTAAGGTATAACGTCATAAGTTGATACTTCAGACAAGTTTTATGGCAATTTCGACAATAATAATGTTTTAACTTGATAGCAAATTATCAAGAATTACTAAAAAAACATCGATTGCACGGATGGCGTAGTGGTTTAAGCAGTCACCTCGTCGCTTCCTGCTACGCTGAGTGTTGTGAGCTCGATCCCCACACGGGACAACACTTTATGTGACCCACAAATTGTTTTTCTGAGTCTGGGTGTACTCTGAGCCGTTTCATGAATGTTTCATGAAGTTCCAAGAGACACAGTTGTCGCAAGTTATCCTTAAGACAATTAAACTCACCTTAGGAGGCGTAGGGCCTGATGCAGCAGGCCTATATTGCTGTTGTTGAGGCTGTGGTTGGGGGGCCGGTCTGTATTGTTGTTGCGGCTGGGGTTGGGGAGCGGGTCTGTATTGCTGTTGCGGTTGAGGGTTAGGCCTGTACTGTTGCTGGCGGGGCGCGGGACGAGGAGCGGGAGCTGGTTCTTCGTAGTCGTAGTCCTGAGCGCGATATTGAGAGCGACCACCCTGCGTCAGAAATTAGAGTTTAGGTAAATGTAGATATAAAAAAGTGCTCCGGGAGTTTTTAACACGTTTTTATTAGCTTGGTATGTTTTGTTGTATGTTGTAGCTTTGAATCTTCGAACGTGACCCGAACTGACCCACTTCAAAACGTTGAATTAAATTGAAAATTCGCACACTTATCAAGTTTGTTCGCGGCTTCACAGTTTCTAAACGGGTTCACTAATATTGATTTCGATATCATCAAGTTTTCCTACTCTTTGCAGTGCTGTTGTCCTGCGTAGTTTACCTTAGTCGCCTCCACGGTCCCACGGGATGAATAGGGGTGGTGACACTCCTTATTCCTAATCAGTCACCACACGGAAGATATTGATTTAAATTTGTCTATAGTGTGTGTGTGTGTGTGTGTGTGTGTGAGTGTTTCTGCTCGATTCTTTCCTTTCATTTACCTGTTGTTTAGGCGGCTGGTCCCTGGTGGTTTCGTCTACCAACGTGGGTGGGGCGACTGTTATACCGTCGCCGGCTGGCTGGAAACCATATTTGTTTGCACCATACTCTACAACACGCAGCTGAAATTTGAAAAACAAAAGTTTTAAAGATTTTTATAATGATGTTATATGGTATTAATAATAACAATAACCTTACACATCTCACAAACGATCGCCTAATCTCAAGCTAGGCAGACCCTGTACTATGGTAACCTAACTACTGATAAACATACTTATAAATTTCTAAATACTATCACATCAACAGCCTTAAATAGTCAAATGCTCTCACTCTTTAACGACATCTCACCTTGCCGCCATCGTCTTTGTATCCATATTTGCCTTTAACTTCTCCTGTGGGAGACTTAGTTTCGATCTTGAAGGATCCGTCCGCTGCCTCGTACCCATAAGTGTATGACCCGTCTTCGTTGTGCCTGTAAGTAGTTAAAATATATTAAAATATTCGGATTTTAGTAAAATTATCTCCTGTTTGTATGTTATTATAATATTGTGAAGTTGCGAGCGAAGAAGCTTGGGCAATCCTTTAATTGGGAAGTCATATACAAGTGTTTGGGAGAAACTCGTGGTCAAAAGAGTTGTATAGTAAACCCCTTACCTGTCTTACATCGAATTTAGAACAAATTCAATAATATTATTGACTTTGTAGAACCTCTTTTTTAGGCATGTTTCCCTACACTAGGAACAACATTTTCCATGTAGAATAAATTTTTATTTAACATAAATAAACTGTATACACAACCCGAAAACTTCCGTAACGCGATGTAGGATCAACATTTACTCAGTAGTTCGATTTTTTTTTTTAAGATCATGTTAATGTAAATTTTTTTAGAAGTCACCACACTGTGTTAAGTGGGAATGAAATAAAATTGTCATTATAAATATCATCAAATAATAACAATACGAAATATATTAAAAAAGTGGTATTTCAGCTACACACAGCGACTAGACACCGCCTGCAGACATCGGCTTTTTGAAGTCACTTAAAAGTCGATATTAATAATAATTATTTCACACATTTCACACACGGCCGCCTAATCTCAAGCTAGGCAGACCCTGTACTATGGTAACTTAACTACTGATAAACTAACTAAAATAATACTATCACATCAACAGCCTTTAATAGTCCACTGCTGGACATAGCCCTCACCTTAGAAAGGAGGATTTGACCCACTATACCCCGTTAGCCAGATGGGTTGGTATAAGGTTTTGTAGCGACTCCCACATACAAAAAACAGAAACATACTACAACGCCATCTAATGAAGACACACCGAACTACGGAGTAACTACTAAAATAAGAATTGCTAATCCTATATCGCGATATAAAGAATTCCCTCGCCGATTAGCATATATACAACTTCCCAACATCAACCGTTGGGCCGCAGCCCGCCAGGCATGATCACCTCGCCTGGTCGGAGGATCCTCCCTTTGTGTTGGAGGGACATGACACCCTTTCCTCCACAGTTTGTATCAAGTTTTCCTTCTCTTCGTAATGCTATTGTCTGATCCCAAACTAGGTGTTACTGTGGTAACCAGACTGCTGATAAATTTACTACTACTACTAAACTTACTTTAAATAAAAATTACACCAAGACACGGAACAAATGATGGTACTTAGAACACAATTATTTTTCTTGGGTTTGAACCCACGATCTCTGACTTAGTCACTAGGAACTAGATCAACTGGCCAGTCAGTCAGTCAGTTAATAGTTCTACTGTGTAGATTACCCTCTTACTTGTTAATCTGCTTGAGTATAGGCACAGGTGTAGAAGCAACCGTAGGCTCCGAATCAATATATCGGGCTCCGCGATCCACGTAATTTTGTGCGTGGGCGCACGCCACCAAAGCCAGCAGGGCCTGGAAATAAACCACATACAAATTTAATATTTAGGTATAATCTATACTAATATTATAAAGCTGAAAAGTTTCTTTGTTTGTTTGTTTGAACGCGCTAATCTCAGGAACTACTGGTCCGATTTGAAAAGTTCTTTCAGTGTTAGATAGCCCATTTATCGAGGAAGCCTATAGGCTATATATCATCACGCTAAGAGCAATAGGAGCGGAGCACCAATGAAGAATGTTTCAAAAACGGAGAAAATTTATTACTATTGAGAGACGCAGACGAAGTTGCGCGGGTCAGCTAGTCTAAACATATAAAATTCCTTGCCCTGGATTACTGATTGATTCACCAACGCAGAGCCTGAACCGCTGGGGTTTCAAACTTGAAATTTTGGGAGCGGATGCTTTTTATGTTTTAAGCACCCACTAAGAAAGGAGTTTTGGAAATTTCCTAATTGGATAAATTAAGGGATTAACGGTTATTTGGAAGTTTGTTGTTTTCAAAGATAGAAACACAAAATAAGGAAATAATCAGGAGAGCGAAGTTGCAGGCTTAGATTATAAAATATGGGGAAATGATTAAGTATGTATTGATGGTACGAATATAGTAATATTTAAAAATCTCGGACACACATCTTGGATTGGTCCTTTCATTTGATACCCATATTGAGGGGTTGTAAAAAAATATATAATCCGCTACTTTGCGGCGGCGGCCATTTTGGACCGATTTTCATCAAACATAGCTAAGAACACTCTCGACTCGGATTCGTTGCCTGCACGGATGGCGAAGTGGTTTGAGCGGTCACCTCGCCGCTTTCTTCTGCGCTGAGTGTTGTGGGATCGATACCCACATAGGACAACACTTTGTGTGATCCCAAATTGTTGTTCTTAGTCTGAGTGTTCTTTGTGCCAGTTTCATGTATGTTTGTCAAGTCCCCCGCAACACAGGATATATTACGGGAGTTGTCTTTTAAAATATAAAAATAAAGAGGAAATGGTTATAACGAGTGTTTTGTATCCTTGTTTAAAGGTGAAAACATTAAGCCGTACAAGAGTAGTGCAACCGGTGGATTTTTTAAGGACAACAACATATTTTAATGAAACAACAACCATAAATGATAGAAAAATCGATTTTACAACTTTATTCGTAAGAAGAATAAAGAGTCGTACGAGTATTTTTCCCCAATTTAAAAAGGGGAAAATTTGCCCATTAAGAAGATAGTGGCGTATTAATATTGTGCATGAAGGAGTGTAGTTCTAATTGTTAAGCTACAGACAAATACAAATCACATGATCTAATAAAGACCTATTACAACAAGACCGTTACTTCATAACCGAAGTATGTAAAAAACAAGTGACTAGAACATGTAGCCATTTCTTGTAATAAAATTGCCGTGGCCTAATGCCAGGGCAATTTTATTACAAGTCTACCTAAAAAAGGTGTATAGGTAACAATTTTAGGAGTTATATAAATACGAGAGTGCAGTGTTATCCGTGTGGTGACGGATTAAGAATACGGAGTGTCACCACCCATATTCATCCCGTGGATGTAGAAGGAAAATTTGACACAAACCCTTTATAAACGCGTCTGGACAGCTTGCTATAGTAGGCCAAAACATCCTCTGTAAGGAGAGGCCTATGTCCAGCAATGGACTGTTAAAGGTTGTTGATGTGATGTGGGAATTTCGAAACTTCTAAATTTCTAAATGCCTTTCCATATTTTGACGATCGAATAACGTAGTGGTTTGTGTAACGGACTGCTATTCCAAAGGTCGCGGGTTCGATTCCCGCTCAAGTGAAACATTTTATGCATAAACATTTAGTGTTTGATTTGGTCTGGGTGTTTCTGTGTATAATAAGTATGTATTTACAAAAAAAAAAACTATATATGTATTTATATCAGTTGTCTAGTACCCACAGTACAAGCTCTGCTTAGTTTGGGACTAGATGGCGTTGTGTGAATGTGGTACAATATAATATTATTACATTTTAATGCGTGGGCTATGTACTTTCTGAGTAACACTATCGCCATTAGCAATATTTTTTGAAGGATCAATTTAATATGGTGGCTGTATGGCGCCATTTTGGAATATATAATTCGCTTTTTAACAAAACAGTTGCGGATGGATGACATGATTTTGAAATATAACTCTGACTATTTAGCAGGACATTCCTGTTTATTTTTAAATTGTGCATTTCACATTACTTTTAAAACACGAATTGCAAAATCTTTTCCCCAAATTAACATTTAGTATTAAATACTGTAATTTGTAGTCCAGTTTCGGGGTCAATTAGAGGGTAAGGTCAAATTGGCCTCGATGAAACACGGTGTGCTGAACAGATCGAGGCGGTATTTCACTCCGGCCCACCGCCTTCAGCTCTATAAGCCGCAGGTCCGGGAATACTGTTATCATCTCTAGATTCCCGGAGAAGCTGGTACTAAGGTGCCCCTGCATAGATGCAGGGGCACCTCAGTACCAGCTTCTCCCTCTTGACCGCATCCAACGAAGAGCGACTCGAATCGTCGATATCCCAAATCGTCTGCGGTATTTCCGGACCGATACGACCATCAAACCTTCAAGAAAAGAGCGTACTCGGGCCAACGTTCATGGGTGGCGATGGTAACTTTCCATCAGGTAAACTGTCTGCTAGTCTGCTCTCTCTAACATAAAAAAAAATGAGTTTAACATGACATGGACAGACATACTATCCATTGCTTTGTGTATATTATACATGGATATTTTATAAGGCGGTAATCGAACTTGCGACTCTCACAGCTGACTGCGCTTTAGTGGCGCGTAAATAAAAAACGAGTGGCTTGTGTATGCCTAGGTGTCAGTTGAAATATCTAGTGCGGTACAATTACGGAACGACAGCGGGTGCGCAACAGCCCCTGACACCTAAATTGTTACTATAACTATACGGTTAGACTAACAATTGTGGTGTAAGACACAACATGTAGCGGGTAAAAAACGCTACTCGCTACATGTTGTGTGTTGTGCCCTATAGATAGTTGGATTTTGGTTGAATGTTTTTTTTTATGGTTTAAGAAGCAAACGATCAGATGATTTGCCTCATGGTAAGCGACTACCGTCGCCTACGGACACCTGCACCTCAATAGACCAAAGTTCGTTGCCGTCCTGTGAGTATCACCCAGAATTTTTAATTTATAATAATAGTATTTATAATTGTATTGACGAGAATTAACGTGATCACGCCCTATTTAATAGCATATCATTGAATTTTGCATAGCATTTGCCTGACGTTTCAGGCAAGTAGCACTGGCTAAAAGTATGTACTTTTTAATTACATCATCATTTTGTGTGATTGTGTGTCTACTATGTAGGTGTACTAATACTATTAGGAAAAAATGTTACTTGAAAAAATAAGTTCTTGTTCATTAATTAAATAGAACAATCAAAACAACCCTTAATTTATAGGTAAATTAATTCTGTCACTGGTATTGATTGGTTTTATGTGTTGTTTTCTTTTTTATTTTTGATTAGTTTGACGGTATAAAATGCGAATAGAGGTACCGTCCATTTGCGTTAAGAAAATAGTGACGCATCGAGGGTTAAGGTGTATTCAGGGTGGAGAAAAGTTTGATGATGATGATTATGAAACTTTTTCTACCAAAACAAATGTTCTTCTGATATAAAACAAAAGATAAAAACATCTGCTGACCATCTGTGGACGTAAATAAAAGATAACAAATCTTTATGGTTCTTTGAATGAACTTTTATATAATTTATCAACCGTTGATAGTCGAATTCTTTTTTCTGTTGTTGATCTAGTGGTTAGTGACCTTGACTGCTAAGCCGGAGGTCGTGGGTTAGATTCCCAACCAGGACAAATATTGTGTGATGAGCACGGTCATTTGTTCTGTGTCTGGGCGTAATTTATCTATAATATGTATGTATTTAAAAAATAAGTATGTTACCATAGTACAGGCTCTGCCTAGTTTGGTATCAGCCGGCGGTGTGTGATATGTGTAAACAAAAGTTAGTTTTCTTTTGTTCTTTAATAATTTCATTAGCAATAGTTTAAGACACTCCAAAAGCATTCTTTACAATTTTTTTATATCTTCCGACCATCACTTACCCCACACACAAATGTTGTAAGTTCACGCATTGATGGATTTACGTGTCAAGCTGTCGGTTAGTCTGTCACAACGTTTGATATAAACTTACACAGAACTATGCGATATTAGGTACCTACAGCTATTGTTGTAGGCATATCGAAAATCGTGGCAATGTTGAAAACCTTGATACTGATAACTATTTATAGGAGTTATGCAAATTTTATAAGTGGGCGTTTAAGTACAAAAGGGATTATGCGAAGGCGATGCAAAGGCGATTATTTTTTTGTAAACTCCCGCATTGGGAATGTATCCTGTGTCGCGGGGACTTTACAAACATACATGAAACGGACACAAAGAACACCCAGACTCAGAACAACAATTTGTGTGTCGTCCCATGTGGGGTTTGTACCCATAATACTCGGCGTAGGAAGCGGCGTGGCGACTGCTTAAACCATTACGCCATCGGTATAGTCTAATTGATTTGGTACTTAACTCAAAAATAATGAATTTGTGGAGTGCCAGCCATGAAAGGTCAACAGCCCAGACTTTGCTGCTAAAGAAAAGCCACCCCTAAGGGTTTAAAATTATAATAATCTCACTTCACCCAGATTACACACAAGCGTATGATCCCAAACTAGTCAGAGCCTTGTACTATGGTTACCAGACCGCTGATAAACTTCCTCCTCCTTTTCTTTCTCTTTCTCCAAAACTAGGTTGTGATCAGCTTTAAGTCTCCACGGCTAAACTAAGAGTTTTTACGCGAAGCGACTGTCATTAGACCTCCACAAGCCAAGTACTAAACGATATCAAAGTTTTATAGAAAGACTGTCTTACGGCTCCAACTTAGGATTGTCATGGATGTTGGTATGGCAACCAAGGCCGACAGCTTAACGTGCTCTCCGAGGCACTTGAGCACCCATCCAAAGACTGACCTGGG